GACATCGAATTTTTTCATCAATCCGCGTAGAGGGGAGCTTTCTCTAATAAGATTGATAACCTTTTTTCGGTTTCGTGCATGCGTTTTCCGAAAATAGTGCCGAATGTGTCAGTGGCTGTCAAATCGTGCTGCGCAATAGACTTTTTTGATTTCTATCTTTAAAATTAGGCTTTCGATTTCGGATTTTTTCATCAATCCGCGTAGAGGGGAATTTTCTCTAACAGGATTGATAACCTTTTTTCGGTTTCGTGCGTGCGCTTTCCAAAAATAGTGCCGAATGTGTCAGTGGCTCTCAGATCGTGCTGCGCAATAGACTTTTTTGATTTCTATCTTTAAAATTAGGCTTTCGATTTCGGATTTTTTCATCAATCCGCGTAGAGGGGAATTTTCTCTAACAGGATTGATAACTTTTTTTCGGTTTCGTGCGTGCGCTTTCCAAAAATAGTGCCGAATGTGTCAGTGGCTCTCAGATCGTGCTGCGCAATAGACTTTTTTGATTTCTATCTTTAAAATTAGGCTTTCGATTTCGGATTTTTTCATCAATCGGCGTAGAGGGGAATTTTCTCTAACAGGATTGATAGCTCCTTTTCGGTTTCGTGCATTCGTTTTCCGAAAATAGTGCCGAATGTGTCAGTGGCTGTCTAATCGTGCTGCGCAATAGACTTTTTTGATTTCTATCTTTAAAATTAGGCTTTCGATTTCGGATTTTTTCATCAATCCGCGTAGAGGGGATCTTTCTCTAACAGGATTGATAACTTTTTTTCGGTTTCGTGCTTGCGTTTTCCGAAAATAGTGCCGAATGTGTCAGTGGCTCTCAGATCGTGCTGCGCAATAGACTTTTTTGATTTCTATCTTTAAAATTAGGATTTCGATTTCGGATTTTTTCATCTAACAGTGTAGAGGGGAATTTTGTCTAATAGGATTGGTTACTTTTCTTCGGTTTCGTGCGTGCGTTTTCCGAAAATAGTGCCGAATGTGACAGTGACTGTCAGATCGTGCTGCGCAATAGACTTTTTTGATTTCTATATTTAAAATTAGGCATTTGATTTCGGATTTTTTCCTCTAACAGTGTAGAGGGGAATTTTCTCTAATAGGATTGATTACTTTTCTTCGGTTTCGTGCTTGCGTTTTCCGAAAATAATGCCGAATGTGTCAGTGGCTGTCAGATCGTGCTGCGCAATAGACTTTTTTGATTTCTATCCTTAAAATTAGGTTTTCGATTTCGGATTTTTTCATCAATCCGCGTAGAGGGGAATTTTTTCTAACAGGATTGATAGCTCTTTTTCGGTTTCGTGCGTGCGTTTTCCAAAAATAGTTGCGAATGTGTCAGTGGTTGTCAGATAATTCTGCGTAATTTCTTTTTTCGCAAATATTTCCGAAATTAGTCTTTTGGATTAGAATTTTCTGATTGTAAATTAGATTTCTATTATAAAAAGGAGACTTCCACCGTTAAGATGTCCTAACAATGAATGTTGAGTAGTGCTGAATTACTAAGTGAAAGGAAAAATGAACATTAATAACATTCATATCTGTATATCTAAAAAAATATTGCATGAGGACTTTTGGAATTTTCCTTAGTTTAGGGTTTTACTAAGTAGATTTCAATGCATAAAGATACATTTGCATTCTTTGTTGAATTATAATTGACATGGCGTTTATAGCAGTGGATTACATTTCCTTGTAATTTGCCTCGCCACCTCCCCGTAGTCTGATAATAATGTTTAAAATGAGCGAATGTTAATAAAAGTAGTTTTTTATCTTGCTTCGTAGTCCTAATTGACTGTTAAATATAAAAACCAACCTTTTTTCTTCGAACCAAACGTTTCTAAAATGGCATCTCCTCGTCATTTGTCGCCTTGGTCCCACAGTATGGCGGAACCGTTCGAATAGTCACATGTTCCCGTAGTTGTTGTTCGTTTCCAAGTTTACTCACTACTGAACAGCGCCACCGTCCATTTTCCGTCACGAGGGATCGATTTTTCGCCAACTTTTCTCTAGTTCGTTCCGAGTGTCTAGCATCCCAGCGATCAGTACGCGTAATTTCCGGCACGGTTAAGCGCGGTGATGCTGCATGCTCGGGATCCACGAATCGGGCATGAAACGAGCATGGCGCGAACCTGTACCGGAAAATTAAAGCTCCTCGAATGTTCCGGGCGTGGAAAGACGCCGCGTTTGTGTTTCCACGTGTATCCTGTGGAAAAATTTCGAGTAAGTGTCCTTCGAGACCGGCAAAACTTGTTCCAAACAAAACCGTCCCGAGGAAGATGCACACGAGGCTGTGGGCTTGCTCTCGAAGGGTATGTATGGGGAAATGTTGAGATATGGAAATTGGATCTAAATTGATATTATCGGATTTTTCTTAAGCTGTTTTTCGATGATTTCTAGCAGTGCTGTACTGTGAGTTAGGTAATCGTGGAAATAGTAGTCTCTTCGTTTTGTACAGTAATTAACCTTTTTATTAAATTAATATGTTTGAGACATTAATGTATGTACGTGCAGTAGTGGTGTTTGATTAATTGTCGAGTAATTGGGACTGTCGTAAATTTGGTATCTTTTTTTTTTAAATTTTGTAATTCTCCTTTTTCATAAATTAGTATGTGGGCGGGGGGCATCGGTATACATACAGTAGAATATGATTAATAAAATTGTCGAGGAATGAGACTGCTATGAATTAGGTAATCATGGATGTAGGTTCTTTTTCTTTTTTTCTTTTCTTTTTTTTTTGGTGTAAATCGCATTTTTTTATGAACTGTGTAGCGAATTTTGTAAATGTACAATACCTAATTATTTACATATTATTTATTCTTTCTAATTATATTTTCTTTTTTGTAAATCGCATTTTTTATGAACTATATAGCGAATTTTTTAAATGTATAATACCTAATTATTTACATATTATTTTTTTTTTTAATTATAGCGTGCGTTTTATGAAATCTTGTGCATGCATAAATACTATTTATTCGCCAGGGAGTATACGAATTTAATACAGCAGAGGATGAATGGATCTTATTTTTAAGACCACCTTAATCCATATGATGCATCGCAGCGGTGCGTTCGTATCGAATTAACTACTGACCCTCGGTGGCTGATTAAATCAGATTACATTAATACATCCTCCCAGTACAATAATTTTACCAAGGTACACGTGTATCCCGTATAAACTACCCGTAAGATTAAAAATAATCACCCAGTCCGTGCGCTATTTTTCCCTATCAATCTTCCTTAATTAAACATAACCTCAAAGGACTAAAAAATAGAAATAATGTTGAAAGATGAGTAACAATAAAATTGAAAGTAAAATTTTGAAACTTATTAATTACCACGAATAAAGGACATCAAAAAATATTACATATTTCCACGAATAAAGAAGGTGTATAAAGAAATTGCAAATTTCCAGGAATAAATTCAAATTTCCCCGAATATTAAAGAGGGAAAGAAAAATTACGAATTTCCAGGAACACAGTCAAATTTCCTCGAATATTATAGGTGGAGTAAAAAGGAATTACAAATTTTCACGAATAAATTTAAATTTCAAAAAATTGCAATATTCCACAAATAAAGGAAATCAAAAAAATTACAAATTTCCACGAATAAATTTATATTTCAAAAAATTGCAATATTCCACGAATAAAGGAGATAAAAAAAGTTACAAATTTCCACGAATAAACGAGATAAAAAGAAGTTACAAATTTCTAGTAATAAAGGTGATAAAAAAGGCTACAAACTACCAGGAACAAATTCAAATTTCCACGAATATAAAGGGTGGAAAAAAATTACAAATTTTCAAGAATAAAGGAGATAAAAAAGAATTATGAATTATCAGGAATAAAGGAGATGAAGGGATATCGTGGGTATTTAATAAATCAAGGCACTACTTACTCGAGGGGGGCCTGGTACAGAAGACACGATGTCAGAAATTAGAAATTTAGGAATTTAGGAAATTAGGAAATTAGGAAATTAGGAAAGCTTTGTCCCGTGGTCTAGTCACAAACCAACTGCTTTGTTCATGGTCTAATCCAAACATTCAAGGTGGTTCCTGTATCACGGGGCACTCGTCATAAAGACTTAAACCGGGGTCCTATTGACCCGGACCCCTTAATGTCTCTAGAAGTGGTATTCTCTAATCTTTTCTTTTCCTCATCACCTACAGAGATAAAACAAAATTCCAAATTTCCGCGAAAAAAGAAAATTAAAGGGATCCCGTACAAAAGACATAGTGTCAGAAATTAGGAATTTAGGAATTTAGGAAATTAGGAAATTAGGAATTTAGAAAATTAGAAAATTAGGAAATTAGGAATTTAGAAAATTAGGAAATTAGGAAATTAGGAATTTAGGAATTTAGGAAATTTGGAAATTTGGAAATTAGAAAATTAGGAATTTAGGAAATTAGGAATTTAGAAAATTAGGGAATTAGGAAATTAGGAATTTCAGAATTTCGGAATTTAGGAAATTTGGAAATTAGAAAATTAGGAATTTGGAAAAGCTCTGTCCAGTGGTCTAATCACAAACGAACTGCTTTTTCCATGCTTTAATCCAAGCATTCTTGGTGGTCCACGTGTCATGGAGCACTCGTAAAGACATAAACCGGGGCCCCATTGACCCGGGCCTCTCGATACCTCTAGAAGTGGAAATCCCTAACCTTATCTTTTCCACGTCACTTGCAAATTTCCGCGAAAAAAGAAAATTAAAAAGATTCGACAAACTCTTGCATAAAATAGTAGAGAAAATAAAATATAATTTTCTAATAAAAATTAAAAAAATTAAATTTCTAATAAAATAGAAAATAAATTTTCTCGTCCAGTTTTCCTCTGGATGCAAGGAAATTCGACGTGTGGTCGATGCAAGGACTGTGTGCATAAACTGTACTTTATTCGACTCAATTTGCCCGGGAAGGAAATATTCCACTTGCAGGGAGGAAACTTTCTACCCCTTTAACCAAGCTAAACAATATCACATCGGTGAAGTGAAATCCTCATTGGATGCCTTTTTCATTTTTCCAGGGGCGGCGGAGAAGAGCTCGAAGCACGGTGCGGAGGATAAGGCGAACAGCATCATCACAGCCATGAAGGAGAGGATGAAGCAGAGAGAGCGAGAGAAGCCGGAGATCTTCGAGCTGATCCGGTGAGTCTTTCTTGGCATATCTTTTCTCTTTCTCTTCTTCTTCTTTTGTCGCAGCATAGTTCACTCTCAGACGGAAAACACCGTCGATCGGTGGCGACGCACGAGTTTCAGGGGTGAAACAGTCGATCGACTGCGATCTGGCTTGGGTCCTACGATAGAATAATGCAGTCTAATATTATCACTGCCTTACACGTGCCTTTGAGGTTAGGATACTTTTTTGAAACTGGATTTAATAGAAGAACTGGATAAATTTCTACTTTTCCTTTTTGTTTTCTTTTTGGAGTCCATTTGATCTGATTTTGATCACCTGTGACGAGAAAGAATGCAGTTTAATACTCTCACTGTTTTACACGTGCCTTTGAGGTTAGGGTATTTTTTAAAAATGAACTTTATAGAAAAACTATATAAATCATTTTCCTCTTTTTTTCTTTGGGATTTATTTGTCCTAGAATGATGACGATTTGATCACCTGTGTCGAAGAAAAATAATGCAGTCTAATATTATCACTGCCTTACACATGCCTTTGAGGTTAGGGTATTTTTTTGAAACTGGATTTAATAGTAGAATTGCATAAATTTTTGTTGTTTCTTTTCGTTTTCTTTTTTGAATCTATTTGATCATAGAGTGACCATTTGATCACCTGTGTCGAAGAAAAATAATGCAGTCTAATATTATCACTGCCTTACACATGCCTTTGAGGTTAGGGTACTTTTTTAAAATGAACTTTATAGAAAAACTATATAAATCATTTTCCTCTTTTTTTCTTTGGGATTTATTTGTCCTAGATTAATGACGATTTGATCACCTGTGTCGAAGAAGAATAATGCAGTCTAATATTATCACTGCCTTACACGTGCCTTTGAGGTTAGGATACTTTTTTGAAACTGGATTTAATAGAAGAACTGGATAAATTTCTACTTTTCCTTTTTGTTTTCTTTTTGGAGTCCATTTGATCTGATTTTGATCACCTGTGACGAGAAAGAATGCAGTTTAATACTCTCACTGTTTTACACGTGTCTTTGAGGTTAGGGTACTTTTTTAAAATGAACTTCATAGGGAAACTATAAAAATCATTTTCCTCTTTTTTTCTTTGGGATTTATTTGTCCTAGAATGATGACGATTTGATCACCTGTGTCGAAGAAGAATAATGCAGTCTAATATTATCACTGCCTTACACGTGCCTTTGAGGTTAGGATACTTTTTTGAAACTGGATTTAATAGAAGAACTGGATAAATTTCTACTTTTCCTTTTTGTTTTCTTTTTGGAGTCCATTTGATCTGATTTTGATCACCTGTGACGAGAAAGAATGCAGTTTAATACTCTCACTGTTTTACACGTGTCTTTGAGGTTAGGGTACTTTTTTAAAATGAACTTCATAGGAAAACTATAAAAATTATTTTCCTCTTTTTTTCTTTGGGATTTATTTGTCCTAGAATGATGACGATTTGATCACCTGTGTCGAAGAAGAATAATGCAGTCTAATATTATCACTGCCTTACACGTGCCTTTGAGGTTAGGATACTTTTTTGAAACTGGATTTAATAGAAGAACTGGATAAATTTCTACTTTTCCTTTTTGTTTTCTTTTTGGAGTCCATTTGATCTGATTTTGATCACCTGTGACGAGAAAGAATGCAATTTAATACTCTCACTGCTTTACACGTGCCTTTGAGGTTAGGATACTTTTTTGAAACTGGATTTAATAGAAGAACTGGATAAATTTCTACTTTTCCTTTTTGTTTTCTTTTTGGAGTCCATTTGATCTGATTTTGATCACCTGTGACGAGAAAGAATGCAATTTAATACTCTCACTGCTTTACACGTGCCTTTGAGGTTAGAGTATATTTTTGAAACTGGATAAATTTTTGCTGTTCCTTTTCTTTTTCTTTTTGAAAAAGAAGTCTATTTGATCATAAAGTGACGATTTAATCACCTTTGTTAAAGAAGAATAATGCAGTCTAATATTGTCACTGTTTTATGCGTGCCTTCGAGGTTTATTTTTAGCAATTGGACTTTAATAGAGAAGCTGGGTTAAGTTAAACTGCTGGGATTCTTGGAGAAAAGCGGCGATTAACGTGTCGCTTTTCCTCCTATCCTTCTTGACTTGAATTAAATGGACGATGAGGGGTAAGAAAGGATGGGGATTAACTTGGTTCGATACAGGGTTGCTTCGGTGGTTGCTTTTTATACTACAACTTTTATCAAATTAATTAAAATCTGAAAACGTAAAATGGCGCAAGAAATGTGTATTTATGAATTTGATGGAAGTATGAAGATTTTCATAAATATTTAAAATGAGGGATAAATTTTACGACTGTCTCATATTGTTCCTTGGTTTCTCGATAATTGAATATTACGTAAATCTACTATATCAAATATGATTTATATCGTATTTAATTATACACATGTATAATACTCTTAAGACATTTAACTAGTTTAAGTTCGAATGATAAATTTTCCCAAATTGAATCTCTTGCATAAAAATTTCATTTTGAGTTAAATACAAGTATGCAGAAATAAAACATTAACAATATAAATTCGCAGATCCATATTTACCACTTAATCATCCCTAAAACCACCCTTAACTTCCACTAATAAAATTTCCTAAATCCAGGATCTCTTGTGAAAATTTCAAATAGCTTAATATTACTAGAAAAACATTTTCATATTTATTCATTAATCATCCTTCAAATTACTCATAACTATCAATAATAAATTTTCCCAAATTCAAACATCTTATTGAAAATTTCACTTTAATTAATTCAAATGCACAATGTTTCAAAACCCAAACACAGCTTCACGTTCTCGAATTTATAATTTAATTGTTCCTTAAACCACCCTTAGTTGCCACCAATAAATTCTTGCAAAACCAAATTTCTTTGGAAATACTTCAATTCCACTAATACAGTCTACAACGCGAAAACTCGAAAAACGAAGACCCCAAATTAGCAAATCTACCAAGCCACCCTTAACTACCACTGACAAATCCTCACACTCTCAAAGCACTTCTCAAAAAACCTCGATTCAACCACATCTGTCCCACACCCTAACCCAAAACAATACAAATCCACCTATATTAAATTCTCGCAAAATCTATCTACAAACCGTTCTTCGAACGTACCACTGACAAGAACCACCCCGTTGAACCGGCAACGCGCACATTACCCCATTTTCGCGGCAACTGGGGCCACAATGCAATTCCTGTTACGCTGCAGAGCACCCAGGGTTCGAAGTTTCGACTCCGGTGGCAAAACCGGAAGTTTTTGCATTTGCACAGTGTGCAGTTATAGCGTGGCCGCAAATTTGCGTGCGCAAATGGCGGCATTTACCGAGTGCAGGGCAGCGAAATAGGTGGATTTAGGTTAGCCAGTTGCGCGATTCGGTGCTTCCACAGACCAATGCGACAGAGGCTACGTTGTATCGTTTCCGTGAAAACCGAACTTCCCGATACGAGTTGGAAATCGGTTCGTTTCTTTATCATCTGGTCGCCATGCGCGTCGGACCCCAGAAAGGGGCCCTAAAAATCACTGGGCGATGGTGTCACGGCTGTCCGAATTTGTTTAAGCATCTTATACCCCAGGAAAACGTTGGCACCAGCGCATATCCTTAAAAGATGCATTCGACCTATAGGAATGCACGCAGCCATCGCTCGCAATTCGCGCCGACCGATCGCGACGGGCCCAAATTTATAAGAACACTGACCCCTGTGATGAACGGACTAAACTCGGCCGACGACTTCGATTCACTTCGTTATATTTCGTTGAAATCGGTAAATAGCTTTACAATTAGCCATTCGCGACGGGCCCAAATTTATAGAAACACTGGCCCCCGTGATAAGTGGACTAAATTTGGCCGACGACTTCGATTCACTTCGTTATATTTCGTCGAAATCGGCAAGTAGCTTTACGATCGGCCGTTCGCGACGGGCCCAAATTTATAATAACACTGACCGAGCGGATGCGTGTACAAACCCCTGTGACGAACGGACTAAACTCGGCCTACGACTTTGATTCATTTCCTTATATTTCATTGAAATCGGTCAATAACGTTATGATCGATCGATTGCGACGGGCCCAAATTTATAGAAACACTGGCCCCCGTGACAAGTGGACTAAACTCAGCTAACGACTTCGATTCATTTCGTTGTATTTCGTTGAAATCGGTAAATAGTGTTACGATTTGACCGATCGCGACGGGCCCAAATTTATAGAAACACTGACCCCCGTAACAAGCGAACTAAATTCGGTCGACGACTTCGATTCACTTCCCTATATTTCGTTGAAATCGGTAAATAGCGTTACAACTGACCGATCCCAACGGGCCCAAATTTATAGAAACAAATCCCCGTGATGAACGGACTAAATTCGGTCGACGACTTCGATTCGCTTCCTTATATTTCATTGAAATCGATAAATAACGTTACGATCGATCGTTTTAAACTTTAACCGTGGGTCCATATCGCTCGGGTTTGGTCGGACCGCGTCCTCGACCCAGTCGTGCCATCATAGCGGGCCCTGCAACCCCGCGAAATTTGAATCGAGGCAGTTACGGTGTGTCGGACGCAACGACTGGCCTGTTAAACGAAGGATTAGGAATATTCATCGGTGGTGTTCTGCCACTGGAAAATTCGGGAGCGTGTTTAACGCGCTTTTGTTTCGGGGGAATTATGTTCGGCCTGGCTTGAGACGCGTGAAACATTTGCACAATTTAGCGCGACGAGGGGCGAACAGGGGTAGTTGTTTCGGTGCAGAGGGTGACTATGTGTTGAGGACTGCAACGGGTGTTTCAACGAGCTTGTTTCGCAAAAGCCAGGTCCACGAGATTCTTGATTTTGTCGTTTGTATGCGACTCTGGATGTTGAAAATTGGAGTGTTCATGGTGCAGGGCTGGAAAAATTTGAGGTAATGATGGGGCGTATGTTGGGGTTCTAGGTGCATTTGTGTAGTGATTTTGAGGCGCTAATGGGAGGCTATGATATTCGCAATTACTTACTTGGAGT